GAAGGGAAGGGAAGGGAAGGGAAGGGAAGGGAAGGGAAGGGAAGGGAAGGGAAGGGAAGGGACCCTAACCTCCAACAATCACCCATGCAGTCATGTTTGATTCTCTTCAGGTCCCTCTTACCACTAGCACTGATATCTTTGTTGAAGAGCAGAAGGAGGATAAAACTCATATGGCCATGTGAGCCTCAGCAGCCTCTCTACAACATCCAGAATAAAAGCCCTGGGAAGCAGCAATGAACCTTCCTAGATAACAAGTTAGGCCAGCAAATGGGCCTTTCAACTGTAAAAATGGAAACTCCATCTGAAGCCGACGAAAAAAATTAAAGTAAAACCTCAAAATGGAGTTCAGCAGAAAACAAAAGGACATGCTACAGCCCAATCCACTTCATGTCCATGTGCACCCAAGCATAAATCTTCCTGCACAAAGGCCAACATAGACACCCATACTGCACTACAAATGTATTTTCACTTCCCCCCCCTCTTTTGCTGGCAAAAGAGCCTGCAAGTTTGTAATTGGGCAATACAGGGAACAAGGAAATAGAAAAAGAACACAGAGATGTTTCCATAGCAGACTTTGAAAGACAAAACTGCTCGATGCTTTCACCCACCTGTGCTGGGAGCATTCAAAGCTCACTAGGCAGTGGGTAAAGGGCAGACACATCGACACAGACCCTCCCAAAGCAACCACTTGAGAAAACATGCGAGATGTCACTCCGTGAAGACTTGAAAAACCTCAAGAAGGAATTGACCCAGCATGCTAGGCAAAAAACATTTTCCATCCACTTGTGGGTACAAGTGGCTCCAGACAAACTGAGTGATGAAAATCTCATTAGCATACATTAATGTACAAAACACAAATGTATTCCCACCAGGTGCAGCTCAGTATGTTCTTATTTAGCCAGTTACAGATGGAAAAAAGACTGCCAGTCAGCTATAGCTCAGACTCACCAAGAATATCAGTCAAGTTCTTAAGAACAATGAAGATGTATGTTATTACGCCCCCTCTCAGATGATGTCTACAGCACCAGAAAACCATTTAACCCAATAATTTAGAGAATGCAACTTCAGTGACCCAACATCCACAGCAGCATCTGAGCATGTATTTTGCAAGTGACAACTAGGCAACATCAGACCCTCATATCCTGGTCATGACAGTAGCTCTGGTCATTACACATGGTGCACACAAAGAGCATGGTAGCTCCAACACGGGCAGGTAAGAGGAAACCAAGTGAGCTCACACCCACAGAGATGGGAAGGCACAGGTGAAGAGGGAAACCCCATAGATACTGTTTTTGTCACAAGGGCAATTGAGTCAGCAGCTGAGGCTCCCAAGGATCTTATTTTTCTCTCCAATTCTCTTTTCAGAGGGTGAGCACAGTGGGGTGTCCTCAGAACAGTGCAGTAATCCCTCCCGTCCCCATCAAAATATCTGTTCCAGAAGGCTGCAACCATAAGCACTGCAGGTGAGGGCAGGGAATGAGCTCTAGGACTGCTCTCTTAGCTCTTCTATTATCTCCCCTCCCAGCCTCACAAATTAGGTTATGCAACAGTGACCCCAACAGTAAGAACACCATCAGTCTTGTACTAAGGATATAGAAAAACAAGGGGATGAGCTCAATTTCTCTGCTGTCACAGGCTAACCTACACAAGGACAGTGATGGAGGAAAGCATCAGAGAGAGAATGAGGACAGTGAGAGGTTCCCCCAGCCACATCTGCAAACTTTTTTTTTTTGCATTTGCCTGAGGGCTTACTGTATACACTTTTTGTCTAGGCATCTACTGCATACAAGTAAAGGTAAAGCATCCTTGGACTGGGTTAGGAAAAAGGCTATAATTAATAAAGAACTAAAGATGAATCAACTGCAAGACTCCTTTGCTGCTAAGAGATGGCAGCTCTGTGTTCATCACGAAGAACACAGGAATGATACTGTTCTAAGGCCATGCTGAGATTGCCACACAGAACAGTAAACAGCTGCTTTCTGCAATCTTGTTCAAATTGGTGATTAAAACAATGAGGAAAAAGAACATCCTATCAGCTGATGATTAAAGAATCTCTGGCAGAACAGTGATTACAGTCCTTGCCTGATCAGCATCAGTAGAACTTGTCTCATCAAGAAGACACTACCCTAAACCAGAACTTTGAGCATAGATCAAAACAGTTCCCATACGTGCAAGGAGGCAGAGGGTGTCTGGAATGGTCACCCATTACTCAGGACATGTCATGTCAGTCAATAATGGTCTCACCCAGCTCAGGTATGGTCCCTGTGGGATACTCGAGTGACAAGCAAAGAACAAACATCTCTCTCATGATAACCATGGTTCTGCTACTGCTTGCCATAGCTATCCTTATCCTTGAGAAATTCACATTTGATAATGGACCCCATCATCTGCTCTCTAGGCAAAAGTCTCAGGTGAGGAGTCCCTCTTGTCTGCTTCCCACAACGTGGATGATACCACTTACTACAGTGGCAGGTGATGTTTTCTGCCGTTACCAAAGAAAAGCCAAAAACAATAGAATATTCAGTCAGCTTTTATAAATAATAAATGAGATCAGACTCAAATTTACACATAGTTGAGGACAACCAATGGGAATTTTCATTTTGAACACTGTGGAAAAAGAAAATAGTCTCCTATATGCATGTAGAGCTTAGACCCTTACATATATAAAGATTTAATAATGCAGAGAGAAGAGACTGCGAATTTTACTGGACTATGTTTAACTCCGCTTCTACACAGAAGTTGGAGCTGCTCTGGGAGGTTGTTGTGATTTTGAAGGCTTATTTGTAATTAATATCTTATTTCACACTAAGCCTAATCATTTTATGAATGCAAATTACAACCGTTAATAAGAAAACTGAATTGTCAGCAGAAAATCCAGTTTACTAGTTTGGTCTCAAAAGTGAAAGGACAAGATTCTCCCACTCCAGTAAATGGAAAATCTGACAAGTATCTGAAGTTTTACTGCTTCCACAGTCCTAAACCAAGGTCCACTATCCAGCACTAAAACAATAAAACTACAAAGTTTCCTTTCGTGGGCATATGTAAAGAATAAATAGACCTTCCTAAACGGATGGGGAAAGTATTTAACAAAGGTAGTCCAGAGACAAGCCAAAGCATCAGTGCCAAAGAAGAGCTGGATGAATTCCTGACAACGTTTGTTATAATACGTCTAAGGATTAAGACCCTTTTGAAGTCTGGATGAAAAAAAATGAGAAGGAAAGCTCAAGAGCAAAGTAACCAAAAGGTTCCTATCAATATTCTCAAGTTTATTTTCTGATCACTGCATCAGAATACTTTCCAGAATTGGTAGGACACAGAACTGCTGTTACAAGCTGTTTTACGCTCATGTTAAAAGTCTAACAAAATTCAATCTATGTTGTCTGCTTGTCCTCTTACTCTTGCGACATGTATGCTGTCAATAGAACTACATTCTGCCTCTTGCATTTCAAAGGGATACTCCTAGCCTCCAACGATCTACAGCTCGGAACTTCCCTAAATTAGATGTGTTTATTTTGTTTATAGAATGATTTCACAGGGTAAGTGATGTTTCATGCTTACAAATAGCTAGCAATTTTGAAAGCATGTTAGTCACAATATGTCATTAAATGATACAAAGGGACTTTAAAGGTACTTCGGTTTTGGGCATACGTGAACTTATTGCAGGTATTCCCAACAGTCCCCAAATAATTATCATATCTGCTCTGCTTAAAATAAATTAAATCAAACCCTCTTCCCAACACCCCGAGCATCATCAAATCAGCATCTTAAGGGGTTAAAAAAGAAGAAAAATAAATTTCAAAGCTACACAGTGGCACAGCAATACACCATATCGCAGAAGTTACAGTCCAGGCTGTTTATTGATAGGCTTTCCACAGCAGTCTAACATCATCCCAGTGGTGGAACACCGCACCTTGCTAAGGGGGTTTGGGCTTGCACAGGACAGGAGTGTCCCCAGTGTGTCACCGACTACAGCTTCCCGCCACAAGGGAAGCAGACATCACAGAATAGTGAAATGCAAGGCTTAGGAAAAACAATCATCCAGTTTTGCTTCCAAAAGTCGAGTAAACAAACCAGAGTCGTTTACAGGGATTTGATTCCAAGTATTTACGGGGTTTGTAAAAGATTTCTTACAGTGAGAGGCAAAGTCAGTCTAAAAGCTTTCAAGTCTCCCATCCCATTGCATCAGCCATCAAGACAGAGGCTGTAGGGGACACCCAACACCCCACTACGCGTGTGTTGTGGGCGCAAGGCATCGGAGGGCTCGGACCGTCTGCGGCCCCAGACGAGCCCCACCCGCAGCCAAGGGACCGCAGCGGCTCCGCGCCGCACCCGGCCGGCCCAGGAGCCGCCAACGCCGCCCGCAGCGCCGCGTCCTCCCCGCTCCGCTCCAGCCACGGGCACGGGCACCTGCCGGTGCCGAATCCCGGCCTGAGCCGCATTGAATGTGTCGCCAGTAGCCCCTCAGCGCGACACCGCGGCCAGAGAGCCCCAACCGCCCCGAGGGGCCCCGCGTGTAAAGCGCTGGCCCTGCACAGCCCCCGCTCCCCGCCCGGCGGACGCGCATGGCGCGACGGCCACACGGAGCCGCCACAGCGCGCCCCGCGCCGCGCAGGGAACGGGCGGGAACTGGCCGGGCGAGCCCGGGGCCGTGGACCCACCCCGGCACGGAGGCGGGGGGGCTCTCCACGGGCAGTCGCTGCTCGCTCCCCACGCTGGCCGTACCTCTCGAGTGGTGACCTCCTCCTTCTCTGAGATCTTTAGCAGCAGCCGGTCGTTCTCCAGCTCCAGCGCCCGCACACGGTCAATATAAACGGCCAGGCGGTCATTGAGCTGCCGCAGTTCCTCCTTTTCCTGCAGCCGGGAGATGCGGGTCGGCGACAGCGGGGTCCCACCGGGGGTGCCGCGGCTCGGAGTGCCTGACATGGCGCTGGGCTGGCGGGCGGGCGGGCAGCGACTCATTCAATCCCGCCGCACCGGGGGAGGGAGCGCTAAGATGGCGGGCGGGCGGCCCCTCGCGCCGCGGCGCCTCCTGGGACATGCAGTCCCGGCCCCAACATGGCGGCGGGGTTCGGAGCTGCCCGCCATTTTGCGCCCAGTCCCCCACCGTGAGTGCGGCTCGGGCTGCGCGTCAACGATAGAAACGGGCGCCGGGCTCGTTCTGAGGCGAAGAGATGTTGGTGGCAACAACGGAAGGGACCGGAGCGACCGACGTGACTGACCCTCACCCGCTCCTGACGGATCTCAGCTCGGATTCCCCGTGGGGCTCAGGCCTGTGGTTCCTTCAAAGAGTGTATTTATGTGTTTTCACTGTAGTTCCCTAAAATATCGTCCACAGCCACTTGTGCGCTGTGTGATTTTGCTATTCTTTGCTGTCAGCTCTGCACAGGCCAGGGTCCAGCTCCGTGCTGAAATGGAAAAATACATGGATTGGATGCTTCCAAGGATGTTGTTTTTAGGAGTACCTAAAGAGTGATGGTTTTTTTGGCTACATAGTCAAACTTTCTACAAACTGAAACCCACTGAGGAGTTTTCTCTTCCTGAATATTTGGAGTAGTATTTTCCTCAAAACCCCCAAATTCTGTCAGTTCTTGCATATTAACTAGTATAAACTGGATTACCATTCCCAAAGGTGTTCTGGCCTTGTGCCTTTCAGCTACAAGGCGGGGCTGAGAAAAAGAAGTCGAAAAAACAGACTGAAAAGCCTGTCATCTGTATGAAAAGCAAAGAGAAAAAGTAGCAAGAGCATTATGCAAAGATGGGAGCATAGGTCTGGATAGAGAAACAGGAAAGACACCAAGAAAATACAGCATACAATGTGAAAACTTACGGACCCATGATGAAAATGTAGGTATTTGGTCTCAAAATCGAACTAAAATGATCTTCATGTGAAATCCTAATATCAAGTACACCTCAAAGTGGAAAATCTTGGAATAAACCCAGGAATTCTGGATGCTCAAGATCCATGAGGGCAAATAGCTGTAAGTCTCTCTAGCGATCACTGCATAAATCACCTGAATGCATTTGCCTCAGAATGTGCATCTGATACAAAAGGATTTGTCCTGGCTGCTGCAAGACAGCAGCCTGCCTGTCCCACCTGCATCACCTTTCCCGGGACGGCAGAGTGGCCCTTCTCCTCCGTCTCCTACCAAGAGCCAAAGGTGGGCATTTCCAGGCCAGTCTGTGGAGCAGTGGTTATCAGTGGGTGCCCCGGAGGCTGTTTAGGAGTGACAGCTAAAATGGAAGCACGATCACTCCCCGTGCGCTCTCTGAAAGGCACAACCTCTGTACATAAGGGTCACTGCCGGCAGGGCGCTGCCAGTGACATCTGATGGTATGATGTGCGACTCCGCCTGAAACTCAGCTTTCTGAGCGACTCTGCAAAGGAAGCGGAGAGCAGAGACTACAAATCCCAGGGTCCTGTGGCCGCTGCTCGCAGGGAGGTCGGTCCCTGCCCCATGCGTTTCCTGCTCTTTGTTTCAGCCTGACTTGGGAATTGCAGTGCAGTACAGTACAGTGCGTGTTTTGAATTTTGGCGCCTGTCTGCAAACTGTAACCGAACTGCTGCTGGACCGACTCCAGCCCCAGTCCCAGCTCCTGCCCCACGCAGTCCATGTCGTCTCTAACAGCACTGTCTTCCTCGACCAAACAAAAAAAAAATGCCCCTTAGCATCAAGCCGGGCACTTAGACTGAACTTTTTTTAACATTTAGTTTCCAACACTAGCAAATTTATGAAAGACCAGCTATAAACTGGTTGTGTTAAGACAGGAAAAAATATTTTAGGAATGCTGAAAGCCTCTGTATAAGCATTTTTGGATTAGCTCACTTCTCTTGTGATTTGATGTGATCATCTGTGCATCTCTCATATTTTAGAAATTCTTTTAAGCTTTTTGCCTAATTTTGATTGATAATGTAAACCAGATATAAATTGCCTTAGTTCATGAGGTTGAGCCTTCAGATTTTTTTAGAAAATGGCTTAGAAAATTTGAATGTTTCAAGAGTTTGTGTGCTTTGGGATTTTTTTTTCCTTCTACTGTTACTGAGTATTTTCAATGTGTTGCTATGAACTGTATTGCAGTAAAGTTGAGGGGTTTTTTTAATATGTATCAATGTTTTTTCCTGAAATATGTATCAATAATAATACCTGATTTTTCTACATTTTTCAGAAAGTCCCTTTCTTTAATAGTAACCTGGACTCTTGCACACTTCCATTCCTGACACCAATCTCCCCTTTTTAACAGAACATGTATGTTCACTTTTCCTTATCTCTTCTAAAATGAAGAGAATGGTTTGGAGGTGAGATGGGGAGAGGGAGCATCAAGGAAGAAAAGGAAGTGCAAAAGCTGAGTACCCACTCACCAGCTGTGTTTTCCAGAGAGTGCAACACATGTTTTAGTTGTAGTTTTGGCATCTATTTAAATACCGGTGTTCTTGGATCCCTCCTAAAACAGGGATTTGGTATTGAACCATGGTCAATATGGTGACTCATCTCTTAATATTTAGCAATTAGTTTTTCATTAGAGACCTTAACAGGTCTTTGTTACCCAAAACAATTTTACGATAAATTCCTTCTGTTTTGAGCTGGTAGAATGGATTTGTTATCCAAAGACCAAATAATTTAGTGTTTGACAAAGGGATGGTACAGGGATGTGTCAGCCTTACCTGGCTGGGAAAAGAGAATCATGGCAATCCCTGGGGCTGCATTCCTGGACATTCAGATTGGGAACCTGTTCAGAGTACACTGCAGCTCCTGCCTTGCGCACTCTCCCAGGTTTTCCCTCTGTGGAAAGTGGAGCAGAGGAGGAAGCTGCTGCAGGTACAAGTCCCACCCTGATACAAAGTCAGGAACTTGGAAGAGCCCTGGGCTCAGTATCGAAGCTGTAGTTCAAAGACTCTTGCTGAGTCATATCTGACTGTCTGCATAGGATAAGAATAAATTTTTGGGATGTCAGGCACAGACAGTAGAGACAGGCTCTGTTTAACTCTGGAGTGTTTCTTCCACCAGATAAATGAAGGAATTGCTTCCAGTATGTAATAAAGACAAAGGAAAACCTTGTGTACCCTTTGATGCAGAGCACCTTCCCATTACTTGACCGGTTTCCTGTACGTTTGGGTGTAATGAATTTTCTGATTCTGGGATTTCATAATGACTCTGACATTTTCACAAAATCTGGAGATACAGGATTTCCAATGCTATTTCTTAACTGCTTTGGTTTCTCAGCAGCTGCTGCCATGCTCTCCCCTTTCTCATTTTACACTCTTTTATTTGTATGTCTTGAATAAGATTATTTGTCTTTCTTGTAGTTGCCTAACTCCCCCTCTGCCTCATGTTCTTCACCTTGCTTGAACAGCCAGACAATGTTTCATTGATTGTCTCAGATATTGTCATTAATTTCAGGAAGGAGAAAGGATTGAACATATATCACATAACATTTTCCTATCAGTCAAAATTCAATATGATCTCAGCATTAGTGCTCAAAAAATTGCGAGCAATCACTCCAAGACTGGAAGAAGCACTCATACCTCACCACAGAGTTTTGCTCTTGAATTTCATCCTCCGTTGAATAAAATGGTTTCCAGCAGTGTCAGGACAAAAAGCACTAAAGCAATTAGAGAAAATGAATTCAATACCATGAGTCTTGGATGAAACTTTCCTCATGCACTATGAGAAAGTTTGCTGAGATGTAAAAAAGAGCACAGAGGAACATGGCACACAATTATGGGGTTAAAGCAAGCAGCAGACTGTCTTTAGGACAAGGGTTTTTTTCAAGACAATACATCACACTGTAATTTGTAGAAGGTGTACTTTTTTCTGAATCCAGCATCTAGTGTTTGACAGGAGTTTTAAAATATAATATTCTTTTGCTACAGCATTTACCTCCTTACTGAGGCAGAATTCAAGCTGTATCACACTGGGGGAAGTGTCAACCAAGTCTAGACAGAGAGAATTCTGGTTGGTGCTTGGAATTGTTCTCTCTTTCGTGGGAGTAAGGTGAATAACTTCTAAGTGTGGCCCTTTGGACTCTTGTACTGGAACCAGACTCTCATGTGATCATAAATGAGAATTCAGTTCAAAAAACACTTCACATTTCCCATCTCTATAGAAAAGGGATAAAAGAAGATGCTGAGGGGGTCAGTGCTCAGGGCTGCTCAACGTTCTACAATTCCATTTTGTCATTTTTCTACAGAGTGATTTGCTTATAATAGCGTGTTGGAGGTTAAGGTTTTTCCTTCTGGTTTTCTTTTCTCTTAGGGAATTTTCCCCCATTTTTGTTGCTAAGGAACAGAAACGACCGGGTTTAAGAGAGGCAAAAGAAGTTGCCAAGTTTAGGGGAGAGGAGGGCATCTGGCTGCATTGCTCTTATCTGAGGGTTTCTCTCAGAGGGGCAGAGATATTGAGAGCCACCTGTCTTTCAAACTAAGCCACAGCACATGCTAAAAAGACCCCTGTTTGTAACACAGGAGCCAGAGAGGCTTCCTGCAGTACAGCTCATTCACGGTCTTCCCCAGGTGCAGGAGCAGGTGTATGATAGGATACACCAGCCTTCCGGGGAGCATCACCTACTCTCTCACCCTCACTGGCTCCCGGGATTCAGGAATTCTTCCAAACTAATAGCAAAACAGATTTCTTGGCAGTTGAATATACCATGAAAGCACCACTGAAAACAGATGAGCTGGCCAGGTAGGAAAAAAGCCACTGCTTCCTTCCAGTCAGACTGTGACAGCCTTTGGAGCCAGAACTGTGGGCGTGCCTGTGCAGAACTGCTGCTGTTTAAAGAGAAAAATAGTAACTCTGCTCTAAAATCAAGGTATGGATTGTTCACATCAGTTTAATGAAATACTGGTCCAATAATCTCTAACACTATGAGTTTTTTTTCACATACAGAGCTGGATTTTATTCTCATTAGATTTTCAGGGATCGAACTGCCAGGGTAGCATCAATTCTCAGCAACCCGTGGAGTTCAGGTTCCCTTATTTCATGTGCAAGCCCCTCATCGTTTA